CCCAGGGACACACACGGGGCACACGAGGCCCCGGCACTGGCTCCGGAGGACGTGGGCCTTGGGGCAGGCCGGGCCGCACTCGCACAGCGGGGGACAGAGGACACCCTGGCAGCCCGGCCTGCACCACCCCGGGAACCAGCCTGGCGGGAACAAAAGCCCGGTCCTCCCCGGAGGCAGTGACCCCTCGCTCTTCAAAAGTCAGGGGCGGCCTGAATCATCCGGTGAGAAGAAAGGAACTCGCCCTCGGCCACAAAAAGCAGCCTGGGGCCTCAGAACCGGAACCACTGGGTCTCTGGGCCTCCTCCACGTCAGAGCCAGGCCACTCTAGCACGGGGACATTGGCCAATGTGGACAGGAATTTTATTTGAAACACACACCCATCCTATTAACTGCTTTACAGAGCACTTCTGTTTTTCAGCTGCAGAAACTTACAAAAAACATCCCTTGCTCTCCACTGAGAGTTTAAGGCTAGTTTTTGAAGGGAGAGAAGGAGGAAAGAAAGACTACCAAGAAGGGAGGTAGAAAAAAGTAACAAGAAAAGGAACCAGTTTACAATTACACGCTTTAAGGAGAGTCGCCTTACAAAGCCACGTTATTTCAAAGATGGCAGGGATCATGCCCTTTCCAGGGAGAATCTACCACCACGGTCAGATTTAATGTGGCCACCCCTGTTGGTCAAAGCAATTGCTGCACACTTTTCTATATCCCCAAGTTCACCTTTTCCACTCCGATGTGCAAAGGCAGCACCGCAGAAATTTCACCGGAAGTCCCCTGTCCTCTGTCAGAATCCCACTCTCAGCCTGAATCTACTCCCAGTTCTCTCAGCATAGAAAAGAGGACACCTGCTTTTTCCCTTTCTGAAAGCCACCCACCCAGGCTGGCCTTACAGCCCAGAGAGTCTTTTCCTACTGCACAATAATGAACCATGCAAGTGTTAGAAATATAATAAGCTCACCAGACGAAGAGCAGTATGTATGGAATCGTATTAGCATTAAGCACACAGTAACAGAGACAGAAAGGGAAGCTTGCCTGATGAAACCTACCATGTCCCCGTGTAAAAGGCATTTTGCACAATTTGGATTCAAATTAATGTAAATATCTAACCTGTTGGCTACAGACAATCCCACTACATTTTAGTATAGAAAACAGACTGAAAAAAAAATTTTTTTTTCAGCTAGAGCCTTGGGAGAAAAGATTGCCTCAAGGGAATCATGTCCGATTAGGGACAAAGGAGGGCACAAGCCAAATTCAGTCACACGTGAGAGAGTGGGGGCAGGGTGGGGGGCGTGGAAAGCCCAAAAGGAAAGCAGAGATGATTTTGTACACCAGAGTCCAGTCAGTGAAGCGCTGTTTCCAGGCCATCTGACCTCAGGCCCTAGAACAGGTGGTATGTTTTCAAAACACACTGTTATTTATGTTGGCCACATGAGTCAGGAACACCTTAAAGAAAACCAATTAATAATTTAATTGAAAAGGGGACTATGAATAATACATGAAGATGAGGATGGTAGCAGTAACTCAGGCAATGTGGCCCACCATGCAGAGATACCCCTGGAAATCTCTTCCGGAAAATGAAGGCCTCCAGATACCCTGCTCCTCACCTGGAAGCAACCCACAGCCTGGCAGACAAAGACAACAAGAAAATGTTTATACTCCCAGAAAATCTAATTTTGCTGCTTTGTGTTAACTTTTATTAACAGGGGACAACCTCGTAATCTGGTGACATCATGAACCTGTGAGGGCTGCAGAGAAATACCTGCAATAAAACAAAAGCTAGAAAACCCAAAGAATGAGGCCTCAGTAATCTGGGAGGATGAGAAGGTTCTGGCAGAGCCCTGAGGACAAATGCCCTGTCAACCTCTCTCCTAGACCATAGGTGACTGGCCTCCTGTACCTCAGAGGCCTGACAAAAGGGACTGAGAGACAGATCTGGGTCCCTTTCCTTTTATCTTTATCTTGCAATAGCTACACGCCTGGTGAGGCCTACTCAAGCCTGCCTTTGTTCCCGGCAAAAATTAACAGGTAAGTCACAGGCAGGTAATCTATGGCCTCTATACCATTTATGAATATAAAGGACTGCACACAAGCCAGGTGCTACCTTGATGAAACTTATTTTCATCTTTAACAAAAACTCGACTACTTCAGAGGAAATTTTCAACTTTCTCACTGACGTATGGAGCTAATAGTTTCTCTGAAATACACACTGCCAATTCTATCATCCTGGCCCAGCTCTTCCCACGGCAGCTGCCTGACGTGTAACTCAGGAACTACCCAGCAGTGACAGCCTGACATCCTCATTGCCCCATCCTGACCACTGTTGACAAATAAACCCACTCTCAGAAGAGGCAATTCTTCTCTTGGAGTTCTCCGTATCCAGTCTCGTCTCATCTGGAAACTGTAATTGGCAACAGCCAAAGGATAAATATTTTAAAATAAATCAGGGAAAGCTAGCTAACCCCTTCTCTATTCCCTTTCCCATTCTCCAAGCCAGAGGCCTGCCCCCAATGCTTAGCTGGCTGCTAAATCACACTGATCCAACCCAGCCAAACCTGCCCCCCCATCTCCCTCCCTGCCTTTCACTTCAGCAAAGGTAAATATGATCTGAGAGAAGATACAGTGGATGTCAGCATTCTGGGCTCTCTTCACAGCACACTTAGATTTAGGTAGATTCGTGTATTCTTCCAGAGCCTTCTATTTTTACTAAATTATACATCCACGTGGATTTTAAAACTTGTGCTTAAATAACCTAGAAGCTTTAGATAAGAAAACACGGGGAGTGGGGAGCCATGCAAACAAATGCCCCTGAAAAAAAATAAGGATCCCTGTGGAGCTGAATCATGCTGCATGCCCTGAGTTCACCCCATGATTTTTGAGGCAGTTTTATTTAGGGACCTGGTACCTGCTGGATGGCCAGGCCCTGCTGGGTATGGTACAGAATGCAGGTTTTCCTAGGGACAGCCCTGGCAGGCCTGCACAGCCAGAGGAGGAGGCTGGAGCACCAAGACCCACACACAGATGTTTCAATTCACATTTCTCTGACACAAACCTCAGGCCTCCATATATCACTGCAGTGCCAATTCCACAGATTAATTTTTACCTTCAAATCATAAATGGACAGTTACCTAGTTTACTTGCCCACCTTCCGCTGCTTGATCCCTAAACTATCACTGATACATACAAGACAGACACAAATGAGTAGCCATTTTTTAAAAAACTGTGATCTAAAAGAGTTTTTCTCTAATAACTGTAAGTTGCAAAGATCAAGTCTAGAGAAAGCAAAAATACAGAAGCTGCCTTGAAAACAGCTTTAAATGTTAGTAGACAGGTCTCTGTTTTGTTTTGTTTTTTTTTTTAACAAAAATATTATTTCTGAAAGGGCAAAGAGAATTTGCCATGCAAGACTTTTATACCCAGGGGGATTCTTACATTTGTGTGTCTAAACCTTGAAATTGAGAATCTTAATGAAAAGGCAGATAGATGCTTAAGGACATCATTGCAATCAGGTCCATACATTACAAGAAGAGTGGCGCTTTGTTTGGATCCAAAGAAAAAAGAGGTGGACTCCTATTTTGTTCCTGGGCTATCCTCAGCTGTCTGACACATCCCTTTACACTGGCCTGATGCAAACCACTGAATTCTTGGAGGGGAAGCAGGTTGGAGGCAGGAGAAAGGAAACAGGAAACAGGAGAGGAAAAGAAAAGGGGGAGGGGAATATTGGCTGTTTACATAAATCCTAGTTTTTTAAAAAAAATTTCTCAACACAGTATCAATTCCATAGTATATCCCAACAGTTCTGCTACTCCTAAGCTTTCAAATCCACTTATGGTGTATCAGAAGCACAACAGCCATGGAACAGATTTTTTTTTAATGAAGAATTTCGTGTAGGTTTGTAATTCTTCTCTATCAAGCGGCCACTTCTAAGTAGGGGCAGAATATTACAAGATAAACAAAAGATGACTCTTTCACGCTTTCCCCTCAATAATTCTACAATCCCATTTTCTTATCTTTTCATTGTAGTGCATTTTTGTTCCAAATCTGTGCTAATCTGACTTCAGAGCCCTGAGCTGAAATTTCACATATCCTCTAAGTCAGCCAGTGTTTTAGAATTTGGATTTCTATTGAGGCTGTTCCAATCGCCAGTGAGGCCTACGGTAAAATGTGCTTCATGCTGTTCCGTTTGTCTCTCTGCAGACAAATAGAAACTGTGAAATTTAAAGAATGGATGAAAAAAAATCTAAAACAAAGAGGTTAAAAAAATAGGACAAATGTTTTTGCTTTTGTGTCTCCCTGGAGCAATTGTTTGAGGAAGTCTGCATTGACAATAACCATGAGAAGGCCATCTAAAGGCGATGTGCTCACAAGGGGACTCCTTGCCTGCTGCCTTTGGTCTGGGAGAAAAAGTACCTTAGCTCCGTTCTCCAGGAACAAAAGGCCAGGGCCACAGAAGGGGGGAGAGGTTACGGGGCTTTCACAGGGAGCCAAGTGTCAATGCTGGTTCATTTTTCACCCGTCTTAGTTGGAAAGCAGCTCAGGGAACTTCCTAATGACTGCTTTTCCCTCTCTCCCTATTATTTCTAAACCTAAAAGAACAAAACAATAATATTTTTTAAAACCTAAAACCTACCATCCTATTAGAGGAAGGCCTTTGGGGCCTACACAGTCAGCTTTTCCTCTTTCTTTTTTCCCCATCTTACTTTTTTTTTTTAAGGGGGTGTCCAATTGTAGATCACATGGAAATAAGAAGACAGTGAACATTATGATCACTTTTAGTAACACCAGAATAGCCTTTTTATTTCCCAAAAGGTAAAGAACAGGATGAAAAAAAAGAAAAACTGCAAAGAACAAGGATAGAAGGAGGTGCTGGGGTGAGGGGGTGCCCCAGGGGCAAGACCTTGAAACAGTTTCTTTTTTTCACAGCTTGAAGTCACTAATGCCAGCCTCAGATGTACAACTGAATCAAAGTCTCAGTCATCGCTACAAGGTGGGTTTTTTGGGGAGGGGTCTTGAAGAAGCACACAATAAGGATGTATTAAAGACGCAGACAAGGTATGTTGGGGGATATCCCAAGGAAAGGAAGCTCTGATGAATCACCGGGTGCCATGAAAATACCAGGACAAGTGGACACTGGAGTATTTAACCAGTTTGAGGCTGGAAGCATTCTCCCCAGCGGTTCAACCCCAGAACTAGTCAAAGACACTGACTCTCAGCTTTTGAACCCAGACATTGGCAGCTCGTAGCTCCCCTTCCCCAAGCAGCTACAGGCTCTGGCTGAGAAGCAATGTTGGGGGAGGGACTGAGAGGGCCCTGCAAAGAAGCACAATAAACAACTCAAATATGAACGGAAATGACATCAGCAAAGTAAAGGACCTGTTTACTGCAGATCAAAACAAAACAAACTTCCAAACCTTTTGTGTACACAAGATAACTCTATAAAAAGCCTTCCTAAAATGTCAGCAAGGTCCACACATCAGCATCACAGCAAAAAAACACATGACAGTTACCATGGGATGGGGGGGTAGGAGAGAGGATGCTGGGAAGCGGATGGGAGGGGGAATCAAACTAGCCTGGGCCAAGAACCCAGTTGCTGCTTCCCCCTCTGCTGAGCCTTAATATTTATTGGTGTTTATAATCTAAAAGCCATGCTCTGTGTTTCACTTAATACAAGGCCAGACAACGTTGTCTAATGAGGCAGCATTACAATCAGCTTGTAATACTGAATTTTTAATGCTGCCAAGGATTCTGTTACATAATAATATGAAGGAAAAAATGGAATCTGAAAGTGGGCTTCCAGTGACAGGACCTTCTGAGTGCCACCATCCTGGCTTCCTTTCCCTCACCCACTCCCACCTTCTGATTTGCAATCAATCCTCCATCCCCATACAGGTCGGTATGGAAACCAAGAGGATTTCCTAGAAAATCCACACTTTTCATTATTATTATTATACTGGGATCCAAAGTTCTATTTCAAGAATTTGAATTCTAGCTTATCTGGGGTTAGAGGTCTAAAATGAAAAAAAAAATGGATCTTTTGAAAGAGGGTGGCCAAAAAGACAAAGAATACAAGGAGGGAAGGGGATGGCTTATTTTAAACCAACCAAGAAATCTGGGACGAGGGGGTTCTCAGACAGGAGAAAAAGCTGGTGGGGGGGTGTTGAAGTCTGCAGATCATATTCATAGCTGCTTCATTCAGTTTACATTGGTGTAATTTAAAAGCATATATATAGCCGCCGTTGCTTCTCTCTGTAATACCCCAAGACTGTAAATCTATAACCACTGCAATGATTTAGTGATTAAAAACACGATAACATATTGTGTAACTGCAAACCACAGAACCCCTGCCAACTTTCCTCTAAGATAAAGAGAGAAAAAATACAGAAAATGTGTTGCTTGCAGCGATCTTCCTAAACCAAAAGATTGTAATAAAAGAACCTATAGAGCAGACGGATCGGAAAAAGGGTTAGTGAATTGTGTGAAGGCAGCAAAGGGGAGGAAAAATAAAAGGGCAGCTTTACGTGGGATTCTTTTCCTTGTACTAACAAATTACGACCTAAACATGCCTTTTCTTTTCTCTCTCTTTTTTTAAGTTTGTTATAACTGGAATAACTGGTCTTGTGCACTGTCTTGCATATTCAAAGCTGCTTTGTAATCGGATCTGTAGACCCAACCTTATTTGCCTGAACTCAATAGGGGTTTCTTTCTCCCCCTCCTCCCTTGTTTTGTTTTGCATTCTGTATCGTGGGTTTTCGGTTGTAGCTGAGAGCATAGGGCTATGTAGGCAGAAGTTCTGGTGCCTTTAAGCTACTACACAAACACCTGAGAGGGGGGAGGCACAATTTGTAACATGGCAGGAGGAGCCTAAAATACACATACACACACACACACACACACACACACACACAAATCAAAGCAGCTGTAGGGGTTTTGGCCTCTGAACAGCTGACCTGACCTCGTTGTGTATATTCTTTTATTTCCCCATTGCAGGATTCCTGCACCTTAGGTCAGATTCGAACTCAGTGTGACCCTGTGGAGAAGGCAGTCACCGAGTCTAGGAAACTGTTCCATATTTAAAGGGGGGGTGGCACATATAATTCAGACTTCCCCAGTGTAGATACCCCCACAGTATGTATGGACATGGACGGACGGGGATGGACACACACACACACACACACACACACACACAAAACACATCTGTCAGAACTGCCAGGCCATGGGGCCAGCTCCAGCCCAGCTCTCTCAGCCCCACCACTGAGAGCCTGAGAGCCTGAACTCTCCTTGGGCCGCTCCAGTCTTCATGCCTACAACTGCCCATGAACGTACACATGCACAAATACTTCTCCAGAGACTTTATGTGTTTAAAAAGTCTACAGATCGGAATCGCCTCCTCTCTGGACCAGAGCAGGGCAGTTTATTCAGAGAAATCAATAGGAAAGAGCATTTGCAAATATTTATATAAGCCCTGTGTGTTTCAGCATTAAGTAATTAAAAACTAAAACCCAGGGAGGGGGGAAGGGAAGAGACACAGACAGGGAAGGCTGCTGGCCTTCAGTGGGGTTTCCTGCCCACACCTCATCTTCCCAAACCGCAGTCCTTTCAAAACTGACTCCGTATATACTTTTTACAAAATACGGTCGTGCACCATTTGCTAAGCTATTTCAAAATCATCTCCAAATACGGATTCACCGACCACCAAGCTTTCAAGACTGACTATAACTCTCAGTATTATCTCTTTCTTACACACACGAACCCCAACTCTTTTACCATTGCTTCAATCTCCAATACATTACTGTCTTATAACCCTATCTGTAATTTACTCGCACCAGTTAAAGTAACCTAACATAATAACATGAAAAGAGGGCCTCAGAAGTAGTAATTCAATAAGCAAATCCCCCAACCTCTAAAGCCCCAGAATATTTCCAACTCCCCTCCAACTCATAAGATACCTACACTTTGGGGTTCAGCATCCAAAGACATCATATTCACTCACACACACACACTTCAGTAAAATGAAGGAGCTTTAAAATGAGCTACTATGGAGTGGACTTTCCCCATATTGTTCCCGAAGGCTGGGCAGCAAATTCTGGCTGTGCTTTCTGCCTCTAAGTCTGCTGAAAGAAGCCGAGCGAGACACTGGAGCACTTACACTGCAGATATTGTAGAAATTTACAGTAAATGTAGGTACACTATTGCAGCACACTGCCCTATTGATTATGCAGATTGTGATCAATCTCCTCTCTCCCATTTCCCAAGCTTCTTTCCAAGGACCTCCTAATAAGTTGATCTGTAACTAGCCATGTGCCCAAACTAGAGGGGGAAAAAGTAATTTTTTAAAAAACATAATAAATTTCAATTGTCCTCACCGAAAGGGCTCTAGAGTTTTTTTTTTATTCCAAAGTGAATTTATGTTTTGTAATTTGCATTACAGCCAAGCGATTACCATATGTCATATTCTTCAAAGGTACTTAACAAACCCCTTTTAAAAAGTCACTAGAACTGAAGGCCAGAAAAAGGCAATCAGCCTCCTTCATCCACATAGTCCTTAGATCAAGTTTCAATAATTGAGACCAATAAAAATTGTCATATTTACCCTACTTCAAAGCGACAAGGGGGAAAAGTTAAGAGTGCGTGATTTTTGAAAGCACTTGCAATCAAAGAATTTGCCACAGTCGAAGGAATTGCACACATTTCACAAAAGTCAGATTCTGAGCAACAGATTAACTCACAAAGTAAAATACAGATATATAGATATTTTAATGGCTCCATAAGAAACCTAGGAGTATTGAGTCCATACACGATTTAATACGCTGCATAAAATACACTTAGATCTACCCTCCAATAGATAAGCAAGAAGATGTACATTAAAACGCATAATGCAAAATTCAGGAACATGGTTTCTGCATGAGTGAGAGGTTAAAGTGGGGAACCCCAACGTAAACAATCCAAGCTTCGCGTGAGCAAAAGAAGAAAAAGAAAAGAAAGGAGAGAAAAAAAATCCTCCGATGTGGTCTCCCTACTCAGCGGGTCGCGAAGGCCGGCCAGGCTAGCTGTGGCCCTGGCCAGCTGCGCAGCTCAAGCC